ACCTGATGCTCACTGGTTATGGGGGTTCACTGTCTCAAAAAAGACAGGGAGACCGAATGGTGGCTCTAACAGACATTATGTAAAACCAGCCCCTGATGCCAGATGTGATCTTCACAAACTGCCTCGGTCAGACTGAAGTCAGCAAAGTTCCCAAATGAGAATTTCTACCATTTGTTGAAAATCAAAGCGTCTCTAAGCAATAGAGCATCATGCTGATTTCTAAGAAGGTCAGGAAATGTGTACAAAGGTGTCTAATGCCTAATGGAGAATTCATTGTGCTGGAAATAAGAGTAAACAACCCAAAGTACCTCAACCTTGACTTCCTCTCAGCTGCTGTTAAGTTGCTATTCCAAGTCTTCAGATTCTGTTCCTCACGGCTCAATAAAAAATGAACCAGAAACCACTCATTATTAACACATAGTACTTTGTGTTTGTAGGACATGTATCAAAGCTATGAAATACTTAGCACTAGTTCCATCTCAAAGAAGACAGAAATGCAGTGGACTAAGGGGCACATGTTGGCACTGCGCACAGTTTTTATAGTTAGCACAGCTTGGGCTGAAACATAAAGACTGGTCTTAAACTTCCTCATCTTACTGGGACAAGGCTCTGCCCTTGGTTACACCTCCCACTGTAGTGTTCTCCCTGGACACTTGGTGGAGAGGCAGCTGCAAAACCACTTCTTCTGAATTTACAGCTGGATCCAGCCCTGTCCCAGCTCTAATTTCCACACCCACCTTTACAGCCAACTGTACAATTCGCATTGTGCTGATATATTTGAAGTACACTCAACCAACCCCCTTTTATACAGGGCAACAAGTAGCCATGATTAGGTGGAATGATGTTTGGTCACCAATGGTATTGAACAGATTTTGAACAGTGAAGCGGCAATGAAAGGGCTGGAGTATGTGTAAAGCTTTTGAGTTGTTACAACAGTGATGCACCTCCACAGAACCTGTTTTTGGCTTTTGACAACTGTAATTTTTAATTATAGACATCATTTCTGAAGCTGTCTGGTTTGAATAAAGATTAAAAGGTACCATGGCTGTTTATTCCAAGCTTATCTAATTATTTTTCATCTGTAAATCAACAACAGACTCAGAAGGCAGTTCTTGGATGACAGATGATTCCTTGAAAATGTTTTGTTTGTACAGCTAGTGGCAATTAATGAAGTATCTACTTTTATCCCCAGAAATCTAGCACAAGTACTTTAAGCTCAGGAGAAGTCTGGTAAATCAACAGGAAAACCCCTTCATCATGCTTAAGCTCTCAGTTTCCTCCAAAGCTTGGCAATTTCACACTGAAGTTTCAATGGATGCTCACATTCACCAAACTTTGTAAAAGACTGTACTAATCTCATGCTTAACTCCTCAAACTGCTGTCATGTTCCCTAGTCTGTGGGTTAAATAACATGATCTGACATTTCCTAAAAGTATTGATAGTCACTGCATGTTGCTTGAAAAATTTGACTGTGTGATTTGAATGTGAACCTAGGACAAAGCAAGACACGTATCTATTTCCAGACAACGAAATATATAATCTTACAAGAGCAGATTGTAAAACCTTGAGCCAAAAAGATAAAAAGGAAGATATGAATTTGCATAAGAAACACTAAAAACCCCCCTATGTCTGTATATAGCACAGCATTTAGCCGGTGATGGGTTTGTTTACTTTCCTCATTAATCGTGAGCTGATGGCTGAATTACAATGAATTAAAAAGGTTAATAGGAGAATTTTTTTTTAGCCTCTCACTTCAGTTATTGAATTCAAATGAAGTTCATTCACCTTCACCAACAAATGAATTATACATATTAAAATTTGCTGTGTTTCACATCCATTCTCCCACTTCCTGCCTTTCTTTCTGTACATCTTTTCCTCATTGGAGAGATATAGTGACAAAGGGCTTCCAAAAGTATTAACAGCATTTCCTACTGCTCAGTCCTCCCTTGAAGGCTTACAATACTTTGCCTTTAGTGTCATGGACTTTCTGATAACATCCCAAACAGAGATATAGGGTCTGTTATACAAAAAGAAAAGTAATCCTGTAAAAAAAAAATAAATCATTAAATTCCTGGGAAATATTCCAGGTGGCATCAGAAGGTCTTAAACCAGACTGAGATAAAGAAAAAAAAGAATGAACATCAGAAACACCAGATTATGCAAAGATAAAAGAACATTTCAAAGAGTTAAACAATTTCTTCTGAAAATGTAATTTTAATAGCTTTCCTCTAGTATATACACTGCTTAAGTGTGACTTTTAATTGCTTTTAGCCAACTACTTCTAGTCCTACATTCAACACATTATTCCCATATTAAATTTTACTTCATTTCATTTAAAGTAACTTCTTTTGTATATCTCAGTTAAAAATGCTATGCTGTTTTAGTAGGGGCTGGATGGGGAAATCACAGACCGCAAGGTGAAGAAACCTCTGCATCCACTGAACCCTGAACCCACCGGCAAATCTGCGTGCAGAGCTTTGCTTTTTCTCACCTTCTTTTCTGTTCGCATTTCTATGAACAGAAAATGACACTTATTTGCAATTATTACAACCATATGGACCTTAATTTTATTTTCTTGCACTGCTTAGAACACAGGTATTTACCTTGATTAAGCTCTCTGTCTAAAAAAATAACTATGCTTGTGTTCAGTGAAGGACAGCAAAATCACTGCGTCCCAAAGAAAGGAAAACATCAAACTTAAATCACAAACTTGGCATTACGGCTACAGATTTGCAACATATGGTAATTTGCCTCTACTTCTCTTGCACATCTGACCAAAATAATCCACTGAAACAGAAATGTCCCAAGTTGTAATAATAATAATAAAAAAAAGCTAAATCCCAGACATTTTACATGGGTCCCTGGCTGCAAAGAGTTAATCCATGAAATGAAAATTTCAGTCTCTGAAAACAAGCACATTTCTGAACCCACATTTATTTTTCCTTAGTGCCTAACCTAGACACATGCTACCTTTGTAATTAGTGTGTATGATCTGAACTAGCAGTGCCTAGCACAATGCTGCAGGTGCTGCTGCACTGCAAACACTTTATAATCAAATGTAAAACACAGAGCCTCTCCAACAGACTTCTCAGAGTTGGACACAGCCAAGTGTGTGGGTTTGACTGCAAAAAATTTATGGTAATAAAAGTGACTGAGGTTTTTGAGGTTTTCTGCCTGAGAGGTTTGGGGCATTTTTTTTGGAACAACTCTGGAAATGTGTTTATGGTTTGGGAAGTGATATTTAGATATACGCCTAAGACATCAGAGATCCCTGCAGTGAAGCACCAGGGCATAGCAGCTTAGTGAGACAGCCCGCATCCAGAATTCATGAACTGGCAGAAAGCCAGGCTCATCGGTGCATGCAGAACAATACTGTATAGAAGAGCTAGGCTAGTCCAGATGCAGCACAGATATATCAGCTTGGCAGAGTGGGTGAGCTGATAAGCCTCAGTTCTCAGCAGAGCTCACCAGATCGATGCTGATACAGGGGTCATTGAGCTCTGCTGCAGCTCAAACCAGTAGGTTCCTCAGGACCCCATGGTAGCACTTTGTGTGTACACCTCAGTTGACTTGTGGTCGCTGGCTTGGACTTCTTGCATCATCGTTCACCACCTTTTGGGTTCCTGGCTTACCTCAAGCAAAGTAAGCTTGGATCTGTCCCTACATGTCCAATGACTGTAGCTTTTCATTAAATGCAAATTCAGGGAGCTGACCAAAGTTCTTGACAATAAAGTCACTCTCTGGTCTGGAAAAAAACTACTGCAGGTGGAATAGCTCCAGAATTAAACACAGAGCTGGAAAGGTCAGGGAAGGTTAGAGATATATCAAAAACCATGACATATCCAGCCTGACCTTGCCCAGTAGCAAGGTCACAGGTAACAGTGATCTGTATCCTTTCAGTCCTTGCTTTTTCTGGCAGCAACACCAATTAGTGCTTCATATGGTTCCTGCCCACTAGAATAAGACCATCCACACTAACATTTAAGTTTTTCCTTCCTTGTCTCCTACCCTACCCCTTCATGCTGAGGGCATAATGACAAAATGTAGAATTTAGCCTTAATTGGATCTCTGCAGTGTTATCACCTGAATTAGCTCCCCCATGAATAATTATCGCTGCCTGGAGGCTGACAAATTGCTTCCCTCTACTTCATGATTGTCAGGAATTTCAAATTATGTGCTGAACATGGGGGGAAAAATTAAAATGAAAAGCCTAGAGAAGCATAATTATTAAGATTATTGAAATATTTGTCACAGAGTCCCAGAGTCTCCCTGAGTCCCAAAGAGGGTGAGTGACAGCAAGAACTTTGCCAGGGGCAAAAAAACCCCCCAGTCTTTCAGCGAGCAACGACTATGGCAATAGACTTGCACAGTCAAAGTAAAACCATAACCACTGCTACTGCCTGGCTCACATTTAGGCACTTCCTATGTTATTCAGTACCCCAGTTAAGCTACGTACATCAGCTCGTTTAGCATCTCATCTGCATATTTGCTCTTGCTAGGTAGATGGTAAATTCTTTGTAGACTGATACAAAGGTAAACATATGCAAGGGGACAGCAGGAGAGTGTCATGCATTTAGAATAGCATATAATATTTCTCGCTTTGTTAGAACAAGGTCTTGGGGAAAAAGAGAATGGTTATGAGAACAATCATTCCACGCCTGGGCAAGACCTCACGCAGAAACGCAATGCGTCACTATACCGCAATATCCATCTCAGATATCAGAAGAGCTGACAACTGGTAGGAAATCATCTCATAAACCCAAATCACTATAAAAGTATAACGCTCTTTGAAAATGGCTTGAAACAATCGGATCAAGCAATAGGGCTTTATCCAATTTTCACATTAATGATGCTGCGCTTGTAAGATTGATGCATTTCGCAGTTCAGTTCAATTCAGTTCCTCAAACTTCTTACCCACCTTGCGAAACCCACAACACACAAGTCAGGCACAGACAAGGTAGCTGCTGACATATTCCCAGGAGAAAGCTCTCTTTGCTCACCTGACATACAGTGACCTCTTCTGATTAGTCCTCAGGGAGCCGGACCCAGAACTCATGCTGTGATTCATCATCTGTTCGCGCAGGTCATGGATTTTTGCCTCAAACCGAGCGTACTCTAAGGAGATAAAAAAACAGAGAATAAAGATATTTTCGTTTTCTTGACCTATATAATCATCAGAGCTGCTAAATACAAATTAATGTTAAGTTAATGAGTGTCAGGCATGTTCTGAAAAACTGAGGTCTAATAGAATCTGGCATTAATATATTATCTTAGGTAAATATGTGACCTCATTATTGCAGTACCTGAACATTTCAGCGCTATGTGAAAAGTCAACTAACCAGACCCTCTCTCCTGCAGGTCCAGGAAAAGGAGGTTTAAAGTGTGTTAGCAAATATCTTTCAGTCTGCAAAAAGGATGCTAAAAGCAGTTTTCCATGATATCATTCCTCCTTCCAAAGAGTGAGATACCTTGTTAGGGGCAGTGGGGTGATGCACTGAAGTTACTGAGTCAAGGATTTAGTGTAAAATCCCACTGAATTGAAGGAGATCCATCAAAGCCTAATTATCCCTGAAGCAGCTGTGAAATCGTATGAGCAATAAGCCACCTTATTTCCCCAGCCCACTGAGGGCTGGGGTCTGTCTCTTATAAATAGGTGGAGCTGTAGCTGGTTCTTAGGGTGGGTGATCTCAGAACCTCCAGAGCTGTTTAAGCTGCATAAGAATGGCACAAAACCAGTTTCCAGACTTGTTCTCCAACACAGCTCTGCTGGTAGCTTTGTAAAACATTGTGACCTGCTGACCAGCAAGGTCACCATTGAGACCTGCACTGGGGCAAGGATTCAGTTGGAGGTCCACCATTTGGTGAGGCTCCTCTTTGAGAGGACACATCCCTCGTACAGCCTGGTCGGTGGTCCCTCCTGCTGGCACCTTCCCCTTCCTCATTGTGTAACCTAATGGGCCAAGTTTTGGTTTGCAAGAGGAAAAGTTGAAGTTTAGGAGGCAAGCTCTAATTCCTTTAAACCGACAACCCACAGGCAGTGCTCCAGCAACACAGAGTCATAATTCAGCCTAAACCCAGGAAATCTACCAACGCGAGCTAGGAGACTAACTTGAGGGGGTGTACAAAATCCATTTCAGTGAGTCAGTGACACCTTGAAGAGTAAGATTTTGAAGACTGATGTCAGCAAAGAGAAGAAGATGTTCCCTGCACCGCAATGTTTTATTTCACTGCCTGCTTCAAAAGGAGGGTCTACATTACCCCACAGCAAGTCTGGAGCAGAAGTGAAAGCAGCACGCAAGATTTCCTCCCTTAAAGGATGGAGGTGCATCCCACCAGATCACACCACCTCTCATTTTAAACAAATAGATCTTTACTGCACATTTGTAACCTATTGGTCTGCCCCCTGTTTGTTGCTGTCTGAGCTACGTGTGAGTGCTGTAATATAGCAATATTCTCATTTTCTCCTAGCAGAAATCTCAGCGTTATTTTTGTTTGATCATTTGCTGTTTGCACTGGCTCCATTCCCAGAATGTTTAGATGCTTTGCTACATCAACTAATTCATTTTATTCAGTGTCCTTTAACTTTTTGTTGGATAATAACATCTGACCTTTCCAAGATCCCACATTTTGCATAGATGCTAGCTTCCTTCAAGCTGGTTTAGCAGGATGGTTAGATTTGGGCTTTTGTGTTTGTTTTTTTTCCTTTCATCTTTTTCTTTTCTTTCTTGCTCTTACTTCATGCATTTTAGCTCCCTTACCATCAAGCTTCTTTGGCACTACCTACTGAGTTTGTTGAGAGACAGTGGCTGCTTTGCCAATCAGCTGGGAACCACTGCTGCGGTTCAGGCTCTTCAGTCTTCCCACATACCTCTGACTTCACTGGCTGCAGATGAAATTCTGCATATCAGGAGAAGAGACACGCCATGCAGACTGTATTTCAGATTTATCCTCTAGCTCGTTTCTTGCTCATTTCTTTCACCTAGACTACATCTTTAAATTTCTCAGTGATTTAAACCCCCAAATCCTCAGGGAACTAAAGCTCCTGTATTGTTTTTTGAAGTGGAGTTCAGATTTGAGGTGTTTATCCCAGTGTAGGATTTGAGTTTGCTCTATGTGAGTCATATTTGTTCTATTCCCCCGCTCTAGAATTTATTTAGTAAATAATCATCTTCCAAGCAGGGCTTTGTTTAACTTATATTTCGTTATACCAGATTTAACTTTTCTTCCTGGCAAATAGAAAAGATGATATTAAAACCAAAAAGCATGCATTGCTCTGCATACGGTGTCTGTCCGCTGCATACAGACAGAATACTACAATTCTAAGGGTTGTTACTAGGTCTTTTTCATGTGTGGTGGATTCACTGAAGAAGACAGCAAACACAGAGTCTACTTCAGCTTATTTGATGTTTTACATCTGGGTGAGGCTGAAGACGTGAATGATTTACATCAGAGCAGCTGGAATGGCAGCTTTCCCTTTAATAAGCAACTATATCCCAGGCAGAGGTGTGGGTGTAACTCCCAGATTTAGACACCAATCTGGAGAGTGAGAAAAGAGGATTGAAAATCTCTAGCACACCATCCAGCTATTTGCAACTTGAACACCAGCTCATGAGATGCTTGGATGACTACAGCTCGGTCAGATGATGATATTACAGCTTGTGTTCCGACTTCAGAGTCCGCTCGTAATTTAACTGACTTTAACTGACTGTAAATTTGTTCTGAATTTAATCATGTCTCTTTTTCCAGAAGACATTTTGAAACCACATCTTAAAAATTGTCTAGTAAGTGTGTGGTGGAAGTTCAGGGCTTGAGCTACTGCTCCCTGCCTGATATTACAAAATACTGAAGTACCAATGACCGTTCTGTTACTTTTTGTTCTTGAGATGTTTTTCCTTTGGACTGAAATATACAGATAATTTGAAAATAACCAAATTTATGGGCCTATATTTTCCCACTGTACCTTCTTCATATCCATGCATCAAAAAATACTGAAATGCACACCTATCCTTTTCTCCTGACAAATGCCTGGACCAGAAACTGCAAGGCCATCAATGCAGGCGGTATTTAAAGAAGCTGATCTCAGCTGGGTTAATCTCAGTCCTCCTAGTTCTTCTGATGCCTAAATACTACAGCGACAGCTGTATTTGAAATGTGAGCAGAAAAAGAAAGAGTGATGCCCCATTTCTGCCATCAGAACTGCTGTGGTACTCCTGCCCACTGTGAAAAATCCTTTTTTCTTAACACTTCTTTGTATATGGGGTCATTCCAGAGGAGCTGTTTCCTAATAGCTTTGCATTTGGTAAGTGCGAGGAAGTGTCAGTGCTGAAGTTCAGAAATACACTTCACGCTTCCTTCAAATTCAGTGATGAATCTAAATAACACAATTTCAAGGCTCCTACGCAATTAAAAGTACACTGAGGTTGTGACATGCTGACAAGAAATAAGAGTTAAAGCTAATTCACTAATTTCATGCCCTTTAAAGAAAGGGAGAACAAGGGGCGTATTGCTGCTGGAGTGCATCATTAGTGAAATTTGCCCAATTTTAGTTACCAAAATCCATCTGCAAAGGTCCTACCCATTGCCTGATCCACTAATGATCTAACAAAAAACTCTTACAGCTTAAGAAGCTGATAAAGTTACGCACCAGACTAAAAGGGCAAACAGGTGAGCAAACTGTAACCTATATTATTGTTGGGGTCAGACCAGATGATACAATGGGTTGTGGTGGTCTGGGGCTCTGGAAATGCTGTAAGAAACAGGGCAGATGAGACAGAGGGAGATGTTTGTTCATACTCCACTTTAGAGCTGGCTCAGAGCTCACGGCAGTGTAGGTAGACCTAAACTTTGCCACCCCAAGGGTACAAAAACAACTCACTAGCTGCGGAGATGTGGAGCTAGTGCTGTTGGGTGTGGGAGAGGTGATTGCTGCCGTGAGAAATGGCCTGGCTGCAGGGTCAGCAAGACCATTTCCAGGGCTCTGGCGCTGGCATGCTGGGGTCTGCGTGGGCTGCCAGCCCCAGCTGTGCTCCCCAAGCACATGCCCATTTTGCCAGGGGTCTATTTTCTAAAGCTGGCTCTGCTCACCTCTCTGGGCAGTCAAGACAAAGAGAAGAGCTAGCTTGAATTATTATGGTGTGAATTGTCCCCAAGCCCAACCAAGGCCAAACCTGACTATATTTATCAAATACAGACAGTAGTTTGAAAAACTGACATTTGTCTGCATTATACAGGACTCATTAGCCTGAGTATGAAGACAGGGAGCTGGTGTTTTTCCTTCTACTTAATTCCAACAGCTCGTCAAGTGCTATATCTGGGACTCACACGTGTTCTAACCTTCGAATATCAATGCAATAATTTGCCTTTCCAAAGCATTTGTATGTGTCGAAATGACTGGACAGGCCTGTGGGACTAACCTTCAAACACATTGAGTCTTCTCCTTTGTTCACATATTGAGAAATCAAAGCAAGATAAATGGCCAGTCCCATTAGAAAAACATCCAAACCACCAAACCCTAACAGTAACGCACTTAAACTGAAACTCCAAGTTTAAGTGGCCCAGAACAAAACTATGACCTACAAAATCTTGCCTAATCCACTTGGGCATCTAAGAGAATTGGGCAAAAAAGAAGGCTCTGAGGAGACCTAATAGCAGCCTACCAGTACCTGAAGGGGGCTACAGGAGAGATGGGGAGGGACTCTTCATCAGGGAGTGTAGTGATAGGGCAAGGGGTAACAGTTATAAGCTGAAAGAGGGCAGATTTAGACTAGACATTAGGAAGAAATTTTTCACTGTGAGGGTGGTGAGACACTGGCACAGGTTGAGCAACCTGGGCTAGTGGAGGGTGTCCCTGCCCATGGCAGGGGGGTTGGAATTTGATGATCTTTAAGGTCCTTTCCAACCCAAACCATTCTATGGTTCTGTGATTCTATGAATATGCAGACACCAACATTTTTACTGCTAAAGTGATTTAGATACCTAAAATCCTGCCATCCCTTCTACAGCTGTGCGGGTGGGTACCTACATGGAGGGGAGGAGTTGTTTTAACACACCCCCCTTCCTTTCCAGTTTCCTGTTGACTGGCTTTGATGGCCCATGATCTGACTCAGTATG